GTGGCTCTGGCAACGAGCGGGGGGCCTTTTTAGGGGGGCTTCCGAAATTCAGTGGGTTGAAAGCGCTGAGTGAGGTCTGGCGGCCGTCAGACTTTGTGGGGCCCGGAAGGTGCACGTCAAAAGTATCTGCGTGCCTGCCATCTGCGCCTTCGTCCTCCGGATTTGCGCCGGGATCTTTGGCAATGGAAGGAAAACATTGCTGGGGGTTGCCATGGAGATGTCCGTACACAGAGGCACAAGGCGTTTATTGCGTGGGCACACCTATCTGGTCACTCTGCCCTTTGCTCTACCTTCTCTTCCCCCGCTCCTCGGGGAGGAAGCGGGTGAGATAATGGCAGAAATATTTCTCGCCAATACCTGCAGCGATCAGCCTTAGCCTCAGTCCTTATGTGTTTGCTCGAGCAGCACATGAGTAATGACTGAGTAAGGAGCGGAGAAGAGGGTGGGCATGTATCCAGGCAGAGGCAAATGAGCTCCTTGGGGGCACGTGGGCTCATAATTGCCACTGTAGCCCTTAGCGGAGGGTGCCTTGCCACGGCCAAGTCTACTGAGCTGTTGTGTAAGAAAGCTCCAAGTACAGCTATGTTTAGGGGAGAAAAACTAGGGCAACGGGTTGTAACATGCTGATCTCGAGTAGGAAGCCAGAAGCCCCTCTGAGCAAGCGGGAGGTGCTGCAGGCAGCCCCAGAGGGCGCCCGGCCGGGCCCGGTGAGGAAGGCTGGGGCCTTTCCACCTGCCTGAGCCGTGGAAAGGTTTGGCCCCGAGGATTTGCGCCAGGAGAGCTCTGTGCGTATCGCTTGTCTCAGGTGCCTTGCCAGGGGGGTGTTGCGAGAGCAACGTTTTACCCCCCAGGGAGCCAGCTGCCAGGCAAGAGCACGCTTGACTGAGGAAGCAGAAGAGGGTGGCATGGCCCAGTAATAGGATATTTGGCCCCAGACCTTCTCTTGTAATTGACAGGGGCTGGAATGCTATTTACAGCTCAGGAAGCTGACAGAGCCTTTGTTTAAGGTGGCTGTGATCCAAGCTGCTCAGTCATTGAACCTTCTCCCCTCTTTTACACATGCAGAAGGAGGATATGCAGCTACTGGGGACGTGTTCAGCTTTCGGGGTCATGCCAGGTTCCCTGCTGAGTGCCCCAGAATTGGTAAATCTTAGGAAGCTAAGTCCAAGTGCTCTGTAAAAGAAGTTGCCAAATCAGGCACTTGGACATTAACCTATGATGGAATGCCTTGGCATAAGCCCCTTTGTGCATATGCACGATGATACAGATTTTACTTAAGTGATGACGGACTGTTTTTTCTAATCATTGCTTTTCCCCTTGTTTTCCATGCCTTTTGGCACAACATCTACAGCAGAGAAAAGACAAATCCTGCTCACCCCCTGCAGCCCAGGGACAGAGAATGCTTGGTGCAGCTGCAGCATGAAGAGACAGAAGCCGGGCAGCTCTAGGGCTATGGCTCAGTCATCATTTGAGGGTAACCTGGGGCTTGATCTGGCTCCTGCCTTTCCAGCTCAGACTTGCGTTTCCTTCCCATGATCTCTTTAAGTCCCAGGACCTGGCCTGAACAGAGACTGAGGGCATGTGAATGGACCTTTTCCCAAGGTGCAGAAGGCAGCAAGACAAAACTAAGTTTGTTTCATGAAAATGGCCAAAGACAAGTTCATAAGATGAAAGCTTTTCTCCTCTCTCAGATCTGACAGTTTCAAGCTAAGTGATGGGACTACAGCTTTTCCACAGAATTTTCTTTTTTGCTGCTATGAAAATGAAGTATTTTTTCCTAACCTTCTTCAGAGACAAAGATTTACTCGGAAGATTTCCAAGTAATCTTTTTTTAAGTTTAGTCTGAAAAACATATGTAGCCTTGAAAATTTCAGCCCAAGCAGCCATGCTTGGCAAACTCCTTAGCAACTGAAAATAAAGGCTTTCAACGGGGAAAGCTTGAATGACCTGAGCCTGTAATGGGCTGTGTTACCTGTACTGTGTAGAAACCAAACATGGCATATCCAGCGCCTGACTCACTACACATTCCCTCTCTCCTCAAATCTCTAACCAATGGCTCCATTTCACTGACTGACAGGAGCAAGGGATTTGGCTCAGCACGTTTCAAATTTGTCAAGCATTTAATTGACTTCCTCCTGCCCCTCCCTCTTCCTTGAAGAAAAATGAGCAGTTTGGCATAAGCCAATACAGCTCAGAAAGCTTTTCTTAAAGCATTTCCCTGGAAATGGTTCAGAACTGCTGGTGGCCATGACACAAGAATAAAAGCCCTTTTCTTTTAGTCTCTATGACCTATTTCTGCCACTGTGTCCAGTAGGTTTGGGACAGGGAGGTAAGACAATCCTCAGACAATCCTTGTGAGGGGCTAAGGCCACAACTTGTGAACGGGGAGGCTCAGGTTGGACGTTAGGGAAGTTGTCACTGGGAGGGTGGCATGGCCCCGAAGCAGGTTCGCAGAGAGGCCGTGGGAGCCCCATCCATCCTTGTAGGTTTCCAAACCTCAACTGGATAAAGCCCTGCCAGCCCCACTCTGGTGCTAGGGTTCGCTGTACTTGGGGTCGGACGTGGGCCTGGAGACTCCAGCGGTCCTTTCCCACCACGTTTCTATAGTAAGCGAGGCTAGCGTGGTCCCCTGGCGGTAACATGGCTCCAGTGTTTGTTTCCGGGGGAAACTGAGAGAGGAAACTTGCTTGTGTATCTGGGCTGTTTCTAAACCGTGACCCAGCAAAAGCCTGCTTCACTTCTGCTCAGAGATAACATCCTCCAGAAGCCACA